TTGCAGCGATCCAAACGAGGCCTCAAGTGCTGCTCGGAGGCTTCCCCAATCTGCGCTGCCACGCGACTCCGACCTGACGCTCGTGGTGTCATCTGCAATGTCTGATCTACATTGCCATGTCGCAACTCAGTTGCCTTGACTGTTCTACTGTTCGATTCCTCACCATCCATTTCGTCATCTGACGCATCCCTTGAATTTCTCTTCATTTCCTTTGCTTGCCTGTCCTGCAGCTCCTGGATCTCTCCGACGATATCTCGCACCTGCAATACATCAGTGTTCAGCATGCTGCAAATTTCTGCCAGCAGCTCTCCGTCTCGCTCTACCACTCTCAAGAAGTCGCTCCAATCATCTGCCGTCTCTATCCCCTTCTCCTGTAGTGACGCAGTTATTGCTCTCCCAAAACACAGGTGGGTCTCCGCGCCTCTCCTTACTATCTCTAGCGCACCACACGCCTTTCAATATGACCCGCCACTGATTTCTCTATCGCCTCTCTGTGTTTTGCTGCGACTCGAGCCCCCTCTAGATCACTTTTGATCCTTGGGCCTATCTCTCTCACCGCCTCGATCGCCTTTGCTATCTCCTCTCTTAGCATAGTAACTATCGCTTTACTATCGACCACGGCACTCACCTGATTTGGCTCGTCCGGTGTCCATCCTTTGGTCATCAGACTCGCCATGCTCCATGAAATCAAACAGTCTCTGCTCATGCTACCTGCCAGTACGACCAATGACTTACACCTTAGTAGGCGCTTTCTTCACTATTCGGCGCGTTACAGATCACACGGTAGGACAGCACTGCGCCTTTCTCGCTATTCGGCGCCTCAGTGCTTCCTGGACTAGTTACGGTATTCACCTCAGTCGGATCTGTGATTTGGCTTGGCCCCCATGTAGTGTTAAGCCCCGAAATATCGAACAGATGCTTTGTGGTAAACACCCGTAACACAGTAATTTATTAGAAATAAACAGCAACTGGAACGAAGAGTGATTAATTAGAGAAATATTAGTTGATGAGTTGTGGAGACGAGCAGGCGAATCCGGTTGAATCCTCGATTGCGACCCTCAGCGGGAGGGTCCTGGCGGCGACGAGAAGATCCGAGTCGAACTGACCATCTGAAGAGCGGACCCCTTTTATAGGGTCCTTCTGACCCTTTTGACCACCGCCGAGGTGGTCATCCCGGGATCGCAAGGCCTCGGCCTGCGATCCCCTGACCTCCACACTTAGTTACACGGCCCAATCCAGTAGGAGTACACAGTAGCGGAAAAAAAACCTGGTACAAATCCAAGTTTCGCTTTCTGATAATTTCGTCAGATTCCCAGTTGCCCATAAGAACTTGTCTGCCCACAATTTGAAATACGCCCGAGAAAGCTTTCTCGAAAATAGGTTGATTGATTCAATTTTTGTCGGGACGGAATTCTGAAAAAAAAACATTACGGGCACACCGCTAGCATTTTTATATTGGATCCATTCCTGAAGTTTGTATAGCTCTGTGGAGAGCATGGAGCTGAGAAAAGCAGCGAAAAAAATGCAAAAGAAATATGAAACGAAAACCGGACAGGTACGATCCTTCGTTGATGAGTCAAAGGGGTTTAACCAATACCAACGACTATGTTGCCGCGGACACCGAAGAACATAACATCAGAGCACTGTGAAGGGTGTGCAGATCGGTGCGAAGGTTGACTGCATCGGGAAGTACGAAGAGCCATGCTCTCACAAACTGTAAAGGACTTTCCAGGATGCTGCATATATTCCACTTCAAATCAGAGCCATGGTGTGGCTTCTGATGGTGAACTGGCCTACGTAACGAATTACGGTTGACAGCTGATATAAAAATAAGTGTTCCCCCCCACATCCAGACGAGTTCTCCACTCGACCAACATGCTCGTAGGAAAGGAAATCCTGACTGGCTTGAGCGGGAGCAGATCCGCGATTTGATTCATTCATAGACCATGGACCTAGACAATGGAGCCAATTGCCGCTGCACTCTCCGTTTTACCAAACTCTTAATACTAAAATTTTATTTAATGATATTACTAGCTACAGCTCCTTATATTGTTAGTTTCCAAGTTTTCTTCGCTTTTGCAAATTTACGGTGGTTTTTTATTCAACTTCTGCTGTTTCCTATTTTATGCTTTGCTCTATGCAACTAGATGTCTGATTACTACAGGAGCTGGGAAGTGATCTCGTTGACATTCCCTCCTACGGTAGCTCGGACGTATCAACATGGTAAGTCCATGGCTTCAGTGAGTGCTGAATTACAAAAAGGCAACTCGCGTCCATTGCTGTATATTTGACTCATGTAAAATAGATTCTCAGCAATACAGCAAATCATTAGAGTGCATCAACAACGAGAGCCCATCATTTTAGCTAGGGCACGTAATCCCTTGAAGTGACTATTCAGAAAAAGGGTTGTTTTCAATCGCCGTGATCATCGGTCACTGATAATCTTGGTGACAAAACCGGGTATGTGACAAAAGAATCGTAATTCTTCGCGCTGGTGAGTGTCTGCCCAGAAAAGCTTCCCCCGAGTAGGGTTGGTTGATCCAATTCTTTGTCAGGACAGAATTATGAAGACCATTGCGCTAGGGCACACCGCTACCACTTTGATATGGATATGAGCATACCTTAAGTAAGGACCTGGCAGCTCCCTGGATCCTAGAACTCTTCGGACCTGCTCGTGTTATGCCAGCAAAGCAAAATCCTGCCGATTTTGGCTCACTATTTGTTTCTTCACGTCACCCAATGCTAACACCATTCAGGAGCGAATGAAAGAACGTAAAACGCACAGTAATAACTCGTGACAGGGAATAGTCCTTTGGCTTTTGGTGGGCGGGCTAGCTGGGGAGGCTTTGGAACTGCCACTTAAGCTGCAGCTCCTCCGTCACTTACTGTGAAGCCGCGAAAAAAGGAGAACCAGTCTACCTGTACAAGAGAAGATGCCTACTACCTGCTTAATCACGGGACTGCCTTTGAGCAAATTCTAGAAAGAGTATTACAAAAGCGAGCTCGTTTCATCGCGGACTGCCGCAGCTCCTTCGTTACTTACTGTGGAGCCACGAAAAGGAGATAGCCTTATAGGCTGAGGACCAGTCTACTTGTACAAAAGGAGACGCCTACGACTTACTTGATCACTGTCCTTTGAGCAAACACTGCTACAGAAACGAACTGATTCCATCGCTTCACTTGCATTCGAATGCAAACACCCCAATGTCTAGTCCACAGCTAAAGCTCATCAGCCCCAGCAAGTTCTCGAAGTCCATACAGGAATGGTTGTACCCCCAGTTCTCTAGAATTGGCGAAGCACGCTATTCCGACAACTGTTCGCATACAAGAAGACAGCCAGTGCGGAGACGTCCGAGGAAAATATGCAGAAGCTGATAGCGGCAACGTGAAATAGCCGCCTGAAACCACTCAGCGTGACGCTTTTCCAGGTTTATTTAGATTTCGGAAAGGGTAATCCTGGAATTGTTGTAGTTACTTGATTTTTCCCCGCCAGATGCTAGTCAGAGCAGGGAACATATGACAGATGCCGAAATGTACCTATTCGTTTTTGCAATGTTACGTCCACTGTTTGCAACACGTCGCAAAAGACTAGACATTAGTGATCTCGCTACTGGTTACATCCAGTAGAAGTCTACCAGTGGAGGGAAATATTTGAGACGCAAAACTGTAGAAAAACGCCTGAGAATTTGGGACTACATGATCTAGTTCAAGTGTGCAACCGAAGGTGCTGACCAGGGATTATCAGGAGAACTTGAAGGAAACTTTCGAAGTGTCCCATATAAGGACTTCCCTCTGAATCGGCGAGAAGCATGGAGGTTCGCTGTAGGTCGGCGTGTTAATGCGTTTTCCCGCAACCCCATTACTTTTCTGTTGCTATCTTTATCAACTGCTCTCAGCCTACCTCATCCATGTTGAGCGCGCTTGACAGGAAGGGGGAGACTTGTGCATGTTTTCATGTAATTTCGCATAAAGAAAACGGCACAT